CCCAAACCCAAACCCAAACCCAAACCCAAACCCAAACCCAAACCCAAACCCAAACCCAAACCCAAACCCAAACCCAAACCCAAACCCAAACCCAAACCCAAACCCAAACCCAAACCCAAACCCAAACCCAAACCCAAACCCAAACCCAAACCCAAACCCAAACCCAAACCCAAACCCAAACCCAAACCCAAACCCAAACCCAAACCCAAACCCAAACCCAAACCCAAACCCAAACCCAAACCCAAACCCAAACCCAAACCCAAACCCAAACCCAAACCCAAACCCAACCCAAACCCAAACCCAAACCCAAACCCAAACCCAAACCCAAACCCAAACCCAAACCCAAACCCAAACCCAAACCCAAACCCAAACCCAAACCCAAACCCAAACCCAAACCCAAACCCAAACCCAAACCCAACCCAACAACTGACAAGAATAAGTGCTTCCGCTCCTACAAAGAATATTCAATATTACCCACTTTATATTTAATAAATTATACAATATCTTGATAATTATAAGAACAATATATGATTTTTATTGTCGGAATCATCACTAAATCATGCTACCCATCCAGAAATATCAAAGGGTACATTTCAATATCACTCTATTGTATGAAAGTGTATAAAACTCACCCAAACCCCACCAACCCAAACCCTTGTAAAAATTCCTTAATAATTTTGAAATATTCAAAGTTCAGTAAGATTGCAAACAATTTACTTTGTTGAATAGTGTATTACAGCCTCATCACATTGCTCGATCAGGAACTTTTTTGAAAAGAAGCAACGGGTTTGAGCCACTCCAAGCTCATTTGAAATAGTTTCAAGTCGTTTTTACATCGGGTTGGATGACAACCACTGTTTTAAAGATTACAGTTGTGAAAAATCGACTAATCTCAGTCATTATTAAGATTTTGAGTATACTCCATTGGAATGTTACCATCTACATACAGTTTAGAACATTTTCCAACCACTTGTAAAACTTCCTTAATTATTGTGAAGTAAGAAAAGTTCAAAGAATGCAAAAATTTTAATTTGTTGTATAGTATAATACAGTCTCATTCAAAAGGTTGGATAAGTCTCTTTTTTGAAAAGAAGCAACGGGTTTGAGCAACTCCAAGC